CAGCCGGGAGAGGGAAGCGAGGACACACGGGGCAGCGGGCGGGGTCGCGGGAGCGGGGCAGGCGGGGAGACACAAACGCAAACGTAAAAATCAGTCCGAGCAAGAATGGAAGCCGCGCAGCGGCGCCCGCCCGCCCGAGTCCGGGGCGCGCGGCCGGCAGCTCTCCCCGCTCCCGCCCGAGCAGGGCTGCGGCTGCGGCTCCCGGCGAGCAGGGCGAGGGGAGCAGGCGCGATCGGGGAGGGGCGGCGTGTGCGCGAGGCAGGGAGGTGGCGGGGACGGCCGTGTGTCTATTTCTGGCTCGAAGGGGGTGGCATTTGCGGCAGAGATCCGGGGCGGAGGAGTTAGGGGTACAGGGGGCGGGGGCGGCAGCGTATGCGACCAGCGTTTCCCCCGGCTTTGGGCGCAGAGGCGGGCAGGTTCCCCGAGGGACACGGGAGCCCCCGGCTGCGCCCGGAGGGGGGGTGGAAAGGATCTTCAGAGATGTGGGGTGCAGGTAAAAGGGTTGAGATCCCCCCACACACGGCTCAGGACGCAGCAGGGAGAGTGGGGGTCCTGGGGAGTGCGGCTGGGAGGGGCTGGGGAAGTGATATCCAGCTCGCCGGTTCCCCACCCCACCCCCACACTTCCGGTTTCCCCCCAGAAGGCTGGCAGCCCCCCAGTTCAGTCTCTGAGGCTCAGGGGTAGAGGGTGGGGCAGCGGCTGACCGAGGGGCTCCGCGTTGGAGGGATCAGGAGGCCAGGTGCCCATTCTCATGGACTTGGTGACCTTGTCAAAGCCACCGCACCCTCTGGCTCTCGGGCTGCTCACCAGGTTCTACAGGACTTGGGAACCATGAAGTGCGTGACTAGCCGAGGGAATCAGGTCTGGCACAGACCCCTTGCCTGCCAGAGCAAGTTCAAAAGACAGCCTTTTTTTTTTTGAAGCCCTTCTGCCTCCTCTCCCACCTGGGCCCAGGGAAGGAGATGGGGTGGAAGGGGTGGGGGCGGAGGTCGATGGAGCAGTTTGCTAAAGCTGTCCCTCAGAAGAGGGGACGCTGCCCATCCTTCCATGGCCTCCCGGTCAGGGCCAAGGTGCCCGAGCAAATGGTCCTCAGACAAGAAAGTGAGGGACAGGAGAAAGTGGAGGGGTGTCTGAAAGCTAAGCGTACTCCAGGAGAGGCAGGCTCCAGATGGAGCCGCACTGGGCACCGTAAAACCCTAAGTACTCTGCCAGAGGGTGCCAGCCCCCAGAGCACCTGCCTACCCCTCCCCACTCTCGCTCTCCCCTTCCCCTGAAGCTGAAGATGCCGTGTGTCTGAGTGTCATGGCTCACCCACCCTCCTAGCGCTAGTCATCAGCCTGCCTGGCGTGAGAGGTGCGTGTGGCCGGTGGCCCCACCAGCACCAGCGCTGTCCGCGTGCTGACCCAGTCCGCACCTTGCATGGAGCAGGTGCTGGGGCTGTGTGGGTGAAGTGGGTTTGCGGGCCTGGGCGCCGTACACTGGGTCTGTACCCTGCCTGACTCGGGTCCTGGTGGTGTCCCCAGGACCCTGCCTTCCATAACGCCAGGGCTGGACTGAGAGCCCCTAAGATCCACAAGGACGGGGGTCACAGCGGACAGGCTGTGCTCCCCACAGTGCTGGGCACACGCGTTATCACGCAGGCAGTGTTTATAAGAAGCATGGACCCTTGGTGAAACAAGGAGTTTCTGCCCACAAGGACGCCAGTGTCGGGCAGGGGACACAAGCCACACAACACAAGCCCTGTCCCTGTGGGGAACGCAGTGTCACTTGACATCTACACATTCATCCCAGGTGCACACACGTAGGTGTGCCTGCAAACTGCAGGCATGACAGGACAGAGTCTGAGCCCTGGAGAGCAGGGCCCCCGGCTGCCTCACTGGCTGCTGTGAACGCCACTTAGTAGGTCCTGAAAGCGAGCACTTAGTAGGTCCTGAAAGCAAGCGTGTGAGTAAGGCGCTGTGCTGGCAGGAGGGACAATGGGCTGTGCTGAAATAGACAAGACCAGGAGAGCAGGAGGCAGGGGGGTGGGCTCAGGCCTGCCCAGCACTGGTGCTGCCTCAAAGGGCTGGAGGCAAGGAGTTGGGAGCAAAGAAGTGACCAGAAGGTCCTGTGGAGAGGGCGATGCAGCCCGGCCTGGGGCCTGTGTCCAGAACCCAGGAAGCTCGGGTGGGGCGGGCCCTGTGGTTTCGGACGGAAATGGAGAAACAGGAAGTCTCGGGTGGGTGAAAGGCGCTGAGGGGGCTCCATGCCCACCCGGCCTGAGCACAGACAGTGCCCGAAAGGTGAGGCGTCCCTGAGATTTTCTCAGGGCGCACACAAGGTGCTCCCGCTTGGCTCCAGGAGGGACTCTGGCCCCACCATCGGTGCCAAATCTCTGGGGAACTGCAGCCTCCCTGCCCCACCCCACAGGCCACTTTTAATGAGACCGCAGTCAGGCCTCCCGGTCCTCGTCCTTACTCAGAGGCCGTTCTCTAATTCGCACGAGACGCACACAATTCGATCACAAGGGATCGCCTTTCCTAAAAATAGCAACTTGAGAATCAGGGGACACGTGTACTGATGTACCAGGTTACAGCGGCGCTTGCTTGTGTCTCTGTGCTCTTTTACTGCATATAAATTCACCCTTCGCCGTGAAGGAGAAAGTAACAGGTTGCCCTCTGGTCGAAAGGTCCCTTCCACCAGCTTCCGGCACCCCTCCCTGGGGACGATTTGGCCGCTGGTCTCTGGTACCCAGGTCTGTGGGTTCGCTCCTGTCACACTGATCTTTCGAGTTGTATGAAACACCATCCTACTTTGCTCTGTCTACTTGAACGTCCTTGTCCCCGTCCTTGTCCCTGTGTGCCCATTGTCCCCAGGCCTGGTCTTCCTCTCCTCCTGGTTGCCTCCCTCCCTCATCCCCTGTCTCTGTTCCTCTTTGTCCTCCTGCTGCCTTTTCAGGGACATCCTATGCCCCAAATCCGGTGTCCTTTCCTTCCTTGAATAATCCTGCCTCCTTCAAGAAGTGAGGCGCGTGTTCCCCCACACCATCTAAACCCCGCATTTCCTCCTGAACGAACGCCACCTGTCTGTCAGTTGGAAAACATCTTCCGTGCTCATCTCATGAGCTAACTCAGTGGGGATCCCCTTGAGTGCCAGTCCTCCCTCTGTCCACACATCACCTTTCCCTGCCACCCTTGAAAAGGTCTTGCCATGGTCACCTGGTGGTCCCTTTAAACACTGCTCTTGGCATCCTGGAACTTTAGACACTCCCTGATGTGACCTCTCCCTCTGTCAGGTTCTTTTTTTTTATTCCTTTCACATCCCCTGAGTTTCCCACCATCCTCTAGTGCAGTGGGAACCTCTGCTGCCGTGGCAACAGCCATTCCAGCTCAGTCGATAAAGCCAATGTGTGCAGAACGTTTCCTCCAGTCATTCCTAAAAAGAGAGGACCCGGCCCTGTCACACCACCCCAAACCCGGCCCCGATCCCCTCCCACTCTGCAGGACACGGCGGCTGTGGGTGGACCATCGAAGCTGCGCTCTGTGATGAGGGGCAGAGCGGGGAGGGGTGCTGGCATGTGGGGACCGACCTGCCGGAGGCGACTGGGTCCTACCCAGTGTCCACAGGGGAGGCGGGAAAGACACTGGTTCGGAATCGCGCAAGTAAGTCCCCCAAACCGGCTCGTCACCCCACGCCCCTCTCCCCCTTCTGTGATGGGGGTGGGACGAGTGATTTGATCACGCTTGTTGGCCAGTAACTTAAAGCAATTTGAGGAACGGAGATACAGGCGTAAGAGGGCCAAGGCTGTGCGGTTTCACGGTGTCAC